ATAAATTGCATTTTTCCAAATACTGTTCTGATCTTATTGTTCTGATTTTTTTTGATCATCTATTACATGTTTTTGTTAATAAATAACCTATCTAATTTGTTAATAACAGTGCTCAAAATACATCTGACCATCTTACAAAAGCAGCTCTCACAATCTCCGAGTTGTGTTGCCATTGCAGCTTGATTTAAAGTAGGTTATATATGAGACTGAATTTTCTTGTTTTGGGGGAAAATGTCTTGTTTTGAGTCTCTCTTTTAAGATAAAAAGGAAAAAGTCTCACCTCAGAACTCAAAATGAGTTTTTTGAGGTTTTATACTTTTACAGTGTTCGCTGCATCATTTAAGCTTACATATCGCTGTTCAAATTGATATTTCGCTGCATTATTTTACATACATCACTGTTCAAATCGACATCACGCTGCATTTATAATATTTTACATATTTAACTTAAGCTTAAAACTTAAGCTTACATCGCTGTTCAAATCGATATTTCGTTGCATTATTTTACATCGCTGTTCAAATCGATATTTCGTTGCATTATTTTACATCGCTGTTCAAATTGGCTTTTCGTTGCATTATTTTACATACATCGCTGTGCAAATCAACAAAAMCGTATTTTTGGTGGTAATGGCGGCCCATAGCCGCCAAGGCGCGCKAGGAGGAATSAATCAATCGCATTACTTTACATGAATAAAAATTTCTTATTTAAGCTTAAGCTTAATTAAAAAATAAGAACTGAAAAGTTGCTTTACAACATACTCTTACCTCCATTTTCTCACCCCACTTGTAAAATATGCACTTTTTGTATATACTGAAGCCACCAATTACGCACCGAACTGCCACCGAATTAGAGATAGTTCATAGAGAGCGTATATCCAGTTGTACATGCACGCGGGAGGCTGCTAAGCACGAAAAATAGCGTAAGAGTCGCACGACGCGAAGCAAAATTATATTTGTCACGTGACCAGTTTTTCTAAATGATGCTCTTCTCATAATAAAATTAACTTAGTTTTCTCACAATTGCTCGAAAAAATCGATATTTTCATAAGGTTTTAGCAATGTAGGTTACTGCTATAATTTTTTTACTTATTTTAAGTTTTTCTTAGATTTTGGAGCTCTTCATAGCTGCCAGTGGTTGACCCAGAATCCCGGTTCGCGGTGTGCCCAATCGCCCATGTGCGGATGGATGGCCTGTGTTTGGGCTAGTGCCACAGGAATCCCGATTTTGGAATCTGTTTGTCCTCAAACATGGCGGCGGTTTCTACAGTCAAACTTGAAGGTGATGCATACACGGTCTGTTTGATTCACGCTCTGTCTACTGAGAGAGAAGAAGTCATGGGATTACTTATTGGAGAGGTATACCTTTTCTTAAGAAAAGTCTTTGCTCAGTTCTTCATATCTTATCTATGGTTAGAACTGTCGTCACATAAGTTCTTAAAGCTTATAGAACGAGTGAATTTTCGCAAAATTCATATTGCAGATAAGCATAGTTTATTCATGTACGATATTTTTTGAATGCAAGCAGAAAATTATGGGTTACGGTATTAATTTTGATATAATGCTACTAAAACTGTACCGATGTTTGTCCAAAAAAATAGCTTGCTACATTTTTACRAAAGATTTCATTCGCTAATTCCTAGAAGGATCTGTTGTACGACTTCCATATTACGGATGCAGTACACATACAGAGTCACTGATGTACCTACAGAAGGCCTCTCATGTAAACATTATCTAGAGAGGAACTTTCAAAGACTTAAACTTCAGGGGCAGATCCAGGATTTTCCTCAGGGAGGGGTGCGGGGTACTCAGAAAATCATTACCATGAAGATACAAAATAAGGAAAGTATTGAAGGATACAGATCTCGAAAAGCTGCAAA